AAAGAAAAGAATAGTATCTATATTAAAATTATATCTTTTAAATAAAAATTTTAATTTTTCTGATAAGCATTTATATGTACAGAAGATTGAAGTTTAAAGATGTAAACAGAGAAAAATTGGGATCATTAATTATAATAATATACATTAAAATTATAACACAAATGCAGATAGAATTTGTGTGTAAAACACAATATATAAAATTTACAAAAACTATTATTAGATCCCGTGATATAATATCAATGTTTAATAATTTTACAATAGTGTCCATTTTTTTTCAGAATTTCTAATTTAGAGATACTCAAATTTTGCAGTGTTTAGTAACTTCAACAGGTAGAAACGCTAGATAAATTGACGAGTATTTTCACGGACGACTCACAATGCGAAAGTACACAAATTAAATCATTGGTCATAACTTGGCATCGATCTGACGAGAGGGGGTTCTTATTGGCCATGAATTATGCCCAATGTCGGCGACATAAACGATTAGATTTATATTGCACTATCGATTTTATATGTTGTACGATTATTGGTACGATTTCCGCGATGAACGCGCGAGTTTCTTGGACTTTTGCCCAAAATGCGAGTTGCATTTGAAAACTCGAAAATTTTGTGCGACTCTGATTCGCGGGTTGCTATGCACGTGCATTCTTTGGAATGCACGCGAACGATCCGCTTGCATAATCGCGATTCGCGGATTCCTGACTCCCTCCTGTTTCCCTCGTCATCGCACTTTCTATGCGTCCGCGTCGTTAATCGGTTTCTTCTTTTATCTCTTCTTTCCGATAAGCGCTGTGGTCTGTCTTGGCTAAAAAGCACACAGATATGCAATTGCGGTGGCTTCAATAGCCACGATAAGCCGCCACGCGATAACGGTATTAAAATCGCTAACACACAGGTTCTGTCACGATAACATGCGCAAATCATTTGATTACCTGAAGAATGGCGACAAACAATTTTCTAGATAGCTCAGACAATCTCTAAACACGTCGATGCATATTTTCAGATCTTATAGATCAAAGCTTGCGAAAACAGGCAGATCCGACGTAAGATTGTCGCAGGTCGATCCTAAGACTTGCCGAAAGAATTACTGCAACACCGTGGGCCAGCAGCGAATTCGGTATGTGCATATGTAAAATTATATTACAACGCGAAAGCGATCATAAAAGGG